AGCGATTGGGGCCAGCTAGCACCGGTCCTTGATTTCTTCTTCAATTGTCTTGAAGTCGAGGTTCGATAGGCCCCTGATTACCACCTTGAAGAGCTTCTCACCAGGGATGTCATGCTTGAAGTATTCCGCTTTGGAATCCATCAGGTAATTGACGGCCACTTCATATCCCACTTTCGTACGGTGCATCACCTTGTTGCCGATCCTGTTGAATTTGTACTCGGTTGCGACGTCCAGCGATGCGAAATCACCAATGAGTGTTTTGAGTGGCACTTTCTTCACCACCTGTTCAGGAAGCTTGGCTCGTTATCGACGGTGTCACCGAAATCACCGATGTCGCTGGCGTCACGTCCACTCTTTCTTTCTCTTCTTGGTCTGCTTCATCACTGCTGGTGTGGTATTATCAACGTTGCTTGGAGGAGTAGCGTACCTATTCGAGATAGGTACACTCGAGCTACGCTCATCACTGTTCTTCTTATCCGCTTTTTCTCGGAGCCTCCGGGAGCGCTGTCTTCCCATTACATGATGCGATCGGCACTACTGACGATGCGAATAAACGCGCAGTAAAACACTGGACTAGCCTGTCAGTTCTAATTACATCGATGGACGTACCCCATTCTAGTACTACACTATGTTTGTTTTGATTCGCTATGAAAGTTTGACATATAAAATGAGGGGTTCGTGGATTTTCCCATGTTTCGAGGGGTGCATCGATTAGCTTAGGAGCGAAGAGAGTATCAGAGCTGAGCCAAAAAGTTGAGCACGTTTCTTTGGGAACTTCTGGTCTTAAAGTTACCTCTATTTCGCTATGATAATTGGTTGCAATTGTTGCCTCCCATCCCAATACTCCTCCTCAGCGATTGCCAGCATCAAAACCAAGCATCGAAGAAAATTTCAACAACTTGATCCTGCCCAACGTTTTGGTGAGTACGTCCGCCACCATCTCTTCGGTTGAACAGTAGACCAACTCTCTTGAGTCTTTTCCAGCACAAAATTCTTTGACGTAGCATTCCCTAGTCTCGATGTGCTTCGATCTACGACTGCTTCTTTGCGATCCGACAAACTTAATGCAACTCTGGTTGTCTTCCATTATTTTCACAGGTTCGCCGAATTCCTCCATCAGTTTTCGAGGCCATACTGCCTCCTGACTACCTTCACTACCGAGTTTTGAAAGCACCGGCCCAGTCTGCATCGGAATACCCCATCAATTTTCCTTCTGGATCTCCGTACTACAGACGCCAATGTTTCGTTGCCTTCGAGTATCGGACCACACGCTTGGCTGCTACCCAAATCCTCTTCCCGCGGTGGACTAACACTTCTTCCCAATACTGAAGCACTTACTGCAATGTCCGGCCTTGCACCATAGAGGTAACTCTACACACTTAGATTTTTTTGCCGAGATGGGCACCACCGAGCAGCTCGGCATTTTATTTTGCTGGAAATTCAGCAAAAAATATGTTTGTATGCTGAGATCTCGGCAAAATTCCCGTTTGTTAGCTGAATCTCGGCAAGTTTTTCACTGAGATCCAGCAAAATAAAATGCCGAGCTGCTCGGTGGTGCCCATCTCGGCGAAAAAATCTAAGTGTGTAAGACCAGTAGGTCCCGAAGAAACGTGCTCAACTTTTTGGCTCAGCTCGGGTACTATCTTCGGTCCCAAGCTAATCGATGCACCCCTCGAAACATACAAAAATCCACGAAACCCTAATTTTATCTGTCAAACTTTCATAGCGAATCAAAACAAACATAGTGTAGTACTAGAATTTCGACTCGAATGGGATACGTTGCTCGTTTGCTTGGGACCAATAGGCTAGTCAAGTAGTGAGCCAATTTAAAATCGTTAGTTGCCATCGGTTGGTAGAACTCCAACTAGGCTTCTGTATTTCGTCACATCCTCCAGAAGCGGACTCTTGTTGTCAGCCTTCGTGAATCCTTCTTCGATTGGAGTCTTCGCAACCTTGGCGTTACGAAGTCCAAATCGCTCAGCCACACGGTCGATGTAGTCTTCAAGAGAGATGCTGTACTTCCCTTCCGATCTGGTAACCTCCAGACCCAGAAAGTTGTTCAAATCACCGAGATCAGTCATCTCAAATTCCTGTCTCAGTGCATTATAGATTTTCTCTATTTCAGCATCGCTTTCACTGGCAACCAGAATATCGTCCACATAAACTAGCAAGTGGACGCACTTTCTGTTGACGATCTTCGTGTAGAAACATGGATCAGCCGTACCTTGCTCGAAGCCTAGCCCTAGGAGAACGGAGTGTAGCCGGTGGTTCCAACAGCGGGCCGACTGCTTCTCCTCAAGCGACAGACCAACGTCTCCTTGCCTTGGACTTGGAACCCAGTTGGCTGCTTCATGTACAGCTCCTCTTCAGGTTCTCCGTCGAAATGCTTCAGGGTTAGGTTTCGCTTACTCGCAACGGCCAGCAAAGTCCTCAGCGTAGTTTGCTTTGTCACAGGGGCAAACACCTCATCGTAGTTCTGTCCGAACTTTTGACTGAACCCCTGAGCTACCAACCGCGCCTTGTACTTCACCACCTCGCCAGTTGCGTTCCGCTTTAGCTTAAACACCCATCGGCATCCGACAGGCTTACGACCTTCAGGTAACTTCGCAAGATCCCACGTTCTATTAATAGCATGTGATTCGATTTCTTGCAGCTGACCCCTTCCTTAAAAGTGCTTGGTTCCTTCAGCTCCTTGGACATAAGATCACCGACTGCAAAGATCTCTTCGATCAGTCTTTTCGGTGCAACTCCTTTGCTCGACCTCGTTGAACGCCTAGCAATCTCGTCCAAGGGAAAACCTCTAAATGACGGTTCCCCTTCAGATGCATTCTCGTACAACGTGGTATCCAAGTTCGAATACGCTTCTTCATCATCGTCAGGATCTGATTCTGAATCCGTTTCGGTGTGTATATCCACTGGTGGATTCATCATTCGATCGTCCTTACCTTCTGCTTCTTGAGCGATTCCGATTTCTTTGCTGACGGCTGCAGGATCACTGGTTGTTCATATGTACATTCTTCGACCCGCGTTGAATCGCTCAAGCTACCAAACTCCAAAAATGTGACATCCCTGCTGATAGCGATCCAGTAATTTTCCGCATACAGGAAGCGGTATGCTTTTCGCCCTTCCGCGTATCCAACGAAGGTCATCTTCGTCGCCGCTTCTCCTTGGGCACATGAACGTAGGCTTCCGATCCGAATGCTCTCAAATGTGCGTAAGATGGCTTCGTTCCATGCCACAGTTCGTACGGCGTCTTCTCAACAGCTGACGTTGGCAAACGATTATGCAGATAGTTTGCAGTACGAATTGCTTCGTCCGACTCTACTTCATACCGGTTCTTACGTTTCGCCTTCCCATTCTGCTGCGGGTAATAGGGTGCCGTTTGCTGCAGAATAATACCAACAATCAATACGAAACTAACGATTTTAAATTGGCTCACTACTTGACTAGCCTATTGGTCTAAAGCAAATCCATTAACGTACGTATCACTTTCCAATCCGACACTGTTATCATTCTCTGGAAGGGGTCGGTTGATTCCAAGAATTGTTAAAGGCATACAGAGGATCACTATCCGGTGGTTTCATGTTCTGGCAACATCTAAAATGGAAATATATTCTTTATCAATACGTACCGTTTGGGATTGTAGTTCTTCAACCTTTCATTTTCATTTTCACCAACATTAGATCCTGCTACGCCTTCCGTTGGATCGTGATGAATGTATCGGATCTTTTTCTATGAATCCTTGAATTTTCAGCAGCTTCCGAATGACGGAATCCTGTCAATTACCAATTCCTTATTATTGATTGCTTCCAACAGGCAAAATAAACAATATTTCGGTTCCTCGTTCACAAGTAAAAGTTATTTTCACTAGGTATCGATCCGAGTTTCAATCCTCTACTTGATCCACCATGACAAGATTTACGGTTTTGAATTGGAAAACCACCGGCTTGCTGGGATTAGGATACAAATTGCCGTGAAATTTTGTAGAGCAAAACAAAACCAACAACGAGTACCGTGCTATGATTATTCGGATCGGTAACATTAGGTCACACACACACAGTCACTGTTAATGAGCAGCACTTGTGCTTCTAAGTTCCACCTTTGATTGACAGAGGCGCTGTTATCAGTGACGTTTGACATTTGTATAAGGGAAGAGAACAGTTGCCAATCTTCGCACTGGGTGTTACCTTCCCCATTGGACCCCCAAGGTCTGAATGCACTAAATCGCCCACAGCTTCAGACTTGCTGCTGGATTCTTTTGGAAATGGTATACGGCTCATCTTTCCTTCACAGTACACTCCACAAACGGACTGAATCTCACATTTCTGCAATTTTAGCAGCCGGCAATTGTTGCCTTCCATCCCAATAAGAGTTACATCTAAGATCGCGTGTTTCTTTTGGCGGAGAGGGAAAATGGAAGACCCGGACTCATGTTGCAAATTTCCCTATCTTATGGTAGTGTTAGCACGAGGGGGACGACTCTATCTACGATGCAAAAAAGATTGTGTTTTGCTGTGGCTAGCTACACGCACGTTGAGTAGATAGAAAGAAGATTGATGACGATTCTGAAGATTTCCTGCAAAAAGATGATGAGCGATGCAAGTAGATGCGACAAATGAAAGAAGATTTTTCGAAGATTGATTCGCTAGTGTGAGATTTGTTGAGCATCTAAACTTGAGATTTAGATGTGTCGCCCCCCTCGTGTTAGCATACGTGGGCGAGCTACCAGCTACGCCAAATCAACGATCAAATGCATTGTTTACAAAGGCTGATACGTCTCTTCGAAAAAGTATTGTAGAATTGTATCAAATAAATCATGCTCATTTGAAGAATTAAACCATCATCCTCCTTCAATTATGTACTGGAATTCGCAAATGATTGCTAGAAATTAAGGTTATGTACACCTTTGCAGACTCAAAAAAGAGTATTTTTTTTCATAACCTCGGAAGATTGCTGACGACGATAAACTTAATAAAACTTCCGTATCCTTCTCCACGTAGGTCTCCTGGACCCGGCAGTCCTCATCGAGGGAGTCCTGTTCCGGGCGCGCTACCTCGGTTCCACCCAGCTCGTTTGCGAAGGCCAACCAACGAAATCGACTCGCATGATGCAGGCCGAGGAAGCCGTCTCCAGGATCAAGGTAATTTTGACTGCGCTCCGAACGATTGTTCCTCATAAAAATGTGATCATAAACCATCATAACCAACCGCTAAATAGAAGAACCGCTAACCGATTCGTAACCCTCATCGTTTCTTTCTAAATTGCTCGCTTGCTCTCCACGAACTACTACTAACACGCCCAAACATACTGCGCTGAATTGAGAAGGCTTTGGTAAGAGAGAACGCTATGTCCTTTTATAAATGTTTCATGTTTTTGTTTTCGATTCTACAACCGATCTGATCGTGTTCCCTGTTCCCCGTTCCAGGCACCGGAGGGTGAATCTCAGCCGAGCACCGAAGTTGACCTGTTCATTTCGACCGAGAAGATCATGGTCCTGAACACGGATCTCAAGGAGATCATGATGGACCACGCTCTCCGGACGATTTCCTACATTGCCGACATCGGTGACCTGGTGGTTCTGATGGCTCGGAGGCGATTCGTCCCACAGGACGTGGATCCGGGAGATCCGGCAGCGCCACTGGTTGCGGCAGCACTGCAAACCTCCGCCGCGAATGCTACCACCGGCGGCGTCGACGGCAGCGGTAACAATAACAGTCCACCAAAGAAGTCCCTTCCGCGGGGCAACCGAACGCCCAAGATGATCTGTCACGTGTTCGAAAGTGAGGAAGCCCAGTTCATAGCGCAATCGATTGGGCAGGCGTTCCAGGTGGCGTACATGGAGTTTCTCAAGGCAAACGGAATTGAGGACCATAGCTTTATGAAGGAAATGGACTACCAGGAGGTGCTGAACAGTCAGGAGATCTTCGGGGACGAGTTGCAGATCTTCGCCAAGAAGGAACTGCAGAAGGAGGTTGTGGTACCGAAGGCCAAGGGCGAGATCCTAGGGGTGGTGATCGTAGAGTCGGGCTGGGGCTCGATGCTACCGACCGTTGTCATTGCGAATTTGGCTTCGTCCGGAGCGGCTGCGCGGTGCGGTCAGCTGAACATCGGCGATCAGATCATTGCGATCAACGGGTTGAGCTTGGTGGGATTGCCGCTGTCGACGTGTCAGGGGTACATCAAAAACACCAAGAACCAGACGGCGGTCAAGTTTACGGTGGTGCCGTGCGCGCCGGTCGTGGAAGTGCGGATAAAGCGGCCCAACACGAAGTACCAGCTGGGGTTCAGCGTGCAGAATGGGGTGGTAAGTGGTTTGGCTTGCCATGGGTGAGGTGAGGATGAGGGATTATTTAATTATTTTTTTTTTTTAGATTTGCAGTTTATTGCGCGGTGGCATTGCGGAACGAGGTGGGGTCCGCGTTGGCCACCGGATTATCGAAATCAACAACCAAAGCGTGGTGGCTGTACCACACGAAAAGATCGTCAACCTACTAGCGACATCTGTGGGCGAGGTAAGTGTGACATTGCCTTTACATACTTTCCGGCGTAAGCCGGATAATCGATAATTGCGTCAAGCTTCTCTTTGAAGTGCTCTGAACGTCCCATGCAAGTGTTGTCTTCTGAGAGTTCTCTGAACTACGAGAATAAGCGCTTTGAAGCTACCATAGAAGTGCTTTGAACATACCGCAGAACGGTACTTCCGGCGAGCAATTCTAAAGTTTCCTTTGAAGTCGTCTTACCTACATATGATACCAGTCAGGCCAAGGACTTTGGCTGAATATATCAAAATATGTTTTGATTAGAGAGGGTCTAGTATAAGAGAGGAGCGGACGGGCTGGTTTTGAGCCAAACGAACTGTCAAAACCAGAGCCAATCGAGCAGCGCCTGTGGGCATTTAGAAATCTTTGATGATATTTTCATCTAATTTGTCTTGCCCCTTGGAGCTGGATGTTCTTTGCTGTACACACAAATCGTCTTCATTGAAGTCATCTTAACATCTTATAAATTCTTTGGACATCCCATAAGAGTCCTCTGAAAATCAAATATACTTCTGATGAACACTCGAAACTTCCTGATTATAAGCCATCCTCTGCTTTCTTGAAGTCTTCTAAGTTACCTAAAAATCCTCTTAACACACCCTTGGATTCGCTGTGTAAATCCTCTGAACTCTTCTGGACGTTCGCAGAACGTCTCTGGACTGAGCAATGCTGAAATACCTCTTTCTTCTTTCTTCGTTTACATTTTTCCAACCTCGAAAAAAAAAACACGGTCAACAGATTCACATGAAAACCATGCCTACTTCGATGTTCCGGCTACTGACGGGGCAGGAGAATCCTGTTTACATCTAAGCAGGCATGGCAGCACCAGCCAAGGAGCAGGAGAGGAGACTGCAAGTGATTGTGATACGAAACCGGAGAAAGACGACGCACGCTCGCGATGTTTGATTGACGATTGTTGTTGGCTAGTAGGTACAGTACTGTATACATTAAAGAGAAATAAAAAAAACTCAAACAATAGAAACTGCATATTCTGCATTTAGGAAAACTAAAAAAAAAAGTTGCAAAGCAAAGACGCTTCTAATGTTGGATACAATAAAGTTTTCGACGACGTGAAACCAAGAGATTGAGAGTCGATTAGGAAGTTATATATCGAATGATAGTGAATTTAAAAAAAAAACTAAACTTAAGAAGATTTGGGGTTAATCAGATATACCTTTAAGACGAGTGGATTTCCAACCAAAACGCAAAACGATTCCTCAGTGAAGTTAGACGAATAATGGACGCAAAGATGCTCATGCTCAGCTTGGACTAGGACCATGTAGCTGATGGGGGCCTAACAAACGATTGAGCGAAACATACACTCACAAACACACATACTCATACATGGTGGTTTGACTTTCTCTCACACACACACACCCACGCATACAAAAATAAAATCAGAACACGAATCTTCCTTCACCACGTTCACACTGTCAACTCAGCGACCAAAGTATATAATTGCTCTGTAATCTGTAATAATGCCTAAATGTTTTCAAATCTCAACAAAAGTGTAGGAAAATCGCAATTGTGAACCCATGAGCAAGTGAACATAGGACTTTAAGCCAACTGATAACAATGTGTAAACAAAGAAAGTATTTATTCGTAGCAATATATACGTATACATATGACAAAAAGAGAAGATCAGCAACCGACAGGAAAACCATAGACACCCAGTGCTGGTGCTTGATGCTAGCTGGCAGCCATGCGCTTTCGCCGAAACCTTAGGAAGACGTAACCAATACAAACGCCCAGTTAAAAAAAACACACACATTTAACATGCATTTAACCACATCAAATCATGGAAAACGAACGAACTGCAAATCCGTGTAAACGCGCTCTATACACAGAACTAATACCAACTAAACAAACACTTAAAAGAACAAATTGCGAAGCAAACTCAGATACCTATAGTTAAGCGAACAAATCCAGCAGACACTCATACACGCAGAAAAAAATAAAACGATGAATGTTATACAGCTCGGTGAGTAAGGAAAACAAAATTAAGCCGATAAAAAAATATTTAATGTGATAATAAACCAAGTAATCATCCCGGAAACAATCAGCATCAAGAGAAAGGTTGTTGAAAAAAAGAAAGAAACTCAACTAAAAAAAAATAAGGCAAAACAAAACAAAATGGTTAAATTAATAACGAGCCGAACGGAGGAGAAAAGGTGCAAAACAAAGGGGGAAAAACAGAACAATACATGAAACAATGTGAATAATAATTAGCCCGTCCAGGCATCGGAATTGATCGAAAGAGAACGGAAAGAAAGCCATGCGTCGACGATCGTTTGTTGATTACTTTAGCCAACAAAATTTTGCTAAAGACGAACACCCAATTGGATTCAATCCCAAATAGTTATTTTTGTTCTGCTAGATTTAATTCCTGGCTCACTATGCAGCGCACAACCCTTAAGCCTTCTTCTAGGATATGTACTAATAATTTCTTAGCCTAATTTAGCTTAGTTGTCTCTATTAAAGATACTTTTAGGGTCTTAATTCTTATGTATTCCTCAGATTCGTTGCAAAATTTATTTGGGATTTTCCCTGGCAAGAATCGCTTAAACGTGACAATAGCAATCTTTTTTTTTAAATCTGCATGGCTACGCCCTTTTGTGATTCGGCCTTCCGTGGTTCGACCAACTACCATGTGTAAAAATCCACCAATATTAATTATGGGCAAATCACGCACGACGCAGCTAATAAATGTTCAACTTACCCGTGCAGCAGCTTGAATCCAAAATGACCTTTCACCAACTGTCACGAAATGTGTATGGTAAGTTGAACATTTATTAGCTGCGTCGTGGGTGATTTGCCCATAGTTAATATCGGTGGATTTTCACATTTCTGGCGATTCTGCCATGAGACGAACCTGGAATCTTGGAGACCCCTGATAGGTAATAAAGGGCAAATCACCCACTTGGTCGTTCTGAGAAAACGAGTGAGGACGCATTTGCAAAAAATCGTCTCCTCGTGGTGGCACGGCCACAGGATAAGAACGCAACCGGGACGGCCGAAAACGAGTGAAGACGGATTTGCAAAAAATCATCTCCTGGCAGTGGTTAGAGGCCACAGAAATATAACGCGACCATCTGTACGTGGTCCGCAATGGCACCACGTTCAGTGGCTGTAAGATGATGAAGATGAAATACGTAGTACATTGCTCGAGCCATGCCGGACAGGCGGGTTAGAACTTAGTTAGAACTACCTTACCCAGACCCAGTGAGCTCAGCGCCAGATCAGAGGTTGTTGAGCTGCGGCTCTTCAAGGCATCGCTCAGTTCCCGGAGGTAGAGTCGGTGTGTAATGAGTCACGCCAAGAGTGAAGCTAAGTCTACTAAGTGCAAAGTAAACAAACATTACGATGCTATGGAAGGTCCACGAAAGGTATTGCAATAAAATATAAAATATAATCGAAGAAATGATAATAAACCAGGGGATGGATATGGCTGTCATATCGTTTAAGTTTGCTGTGTACCGAACATCTGCCACGTTGTCAGCGGTACCATGATATGTTTTGTTGTTTTGATGTTGAGTACGTGTATTCAGCTATTTGTCAAACCCCTGTAATAAATACGCAGTGAGCATTCAATTGTCATGGGATACGTTTGGTAATGATTAAAGAGCCTGAATTTATAAAGAGACGGCATCTTATCCATTTGACAGGTCTTCTGCTCGATTGGAATGACTTTTCTTATGACTTTGACAGATAATCGATTGTTCCAATTTTGACATGTCGTATCTTTATAAATTCAGGCTCTTTAGTAATGATCAGTAATGAGAATTTCTACTATTTTTTGTTAAGACAATATGACAAAATCACTGATATAATGATTTACTACAGCCGCTATTATTTTTTCTCGCTAGAAGTCATTTGAAGTTGATGTAGAAGTCCTCTGTTGCCAAGTTAAAAGAAAGGGAATCTTTCGAAAACCATGATGCGAGTTCAACTGTTTTTCTCTTGGCGTGACTCATTATACACCGACTCTACCCGGAGGAACGTTCAAACTCCAGTGCGGGAGAACACTGCCAACGATGCAAACACGCCCAATTCTCAGGGCAATTCACCGATTGTGGATCAAACGGATGAGTGTAGCAAAGCCAGTCCACGGCATCATCTGCACAATTATGGCATCCACCAGGTGCAGTTCATGGAAAAGATGTCCAGTTTTGAATTAATCATTCTTAGATATGGTACCAGTTGCCAGTTTATATCTAGGTGCAGCGGAAGAAAAACTACAAGGGACAGTCCTATGGGGTTGTACCAACAATCAATACGAAACTCTTGATGGTTAGAAAGAACCGGAACAGCAAAGTTTAAAAGTAGAATGGATTTTATTTAACGACTAGCTTGAGTGGAGTCTTGAACAGGAATGAATAGTTTTTCACCGTTGTTTATTTAAGAAAACTTAGGTTGCTAGGGGTGACGTTCGGTCTCCAAGGAGGTGATCAGCACACTGCGTTACCGATTTACTCCAACACCCCCCCTGAATCGGTCAGTCCTAGGAGGGTCCTCAGTTCGCGGAAACGTCCAGGTTCCAGGGGCTTGGTGAACGTGTCCGCTATTTGGTTTGCTGTATCAATTGCTTCGATTTGAAGTCTTCCTTGTGCCACATGGTCGCGCAAAAAATGGTGCTTTACATCGATGTGCTTGACACGCTTGCTTTCGGTGTTTGTGGCCATTGCAATGCACCCACTGTTGTCTTCGTACACCTTGAATGCCGTGTCCGGTCGAACTTGCTTCAGGTCTTCAAGGATTCCGTGCAGCCACAGCCCTTCGGAGGCCGCGGCACTTAAAGCTGCATACTCGGCTTCACACGACGACAGTGCAACGGTTTGTTGCTTGCGGCTTGCCCAAGACACGGTGTTCCCAAAGACCTTAAAGACGAAGCCACTAACGGATTTCCTATCCTCAGCATCCGATGCCCAGTCAGCGTCTGCGTACCCGACAAGTGCCTCGGCGTCGTCGTTTTGCTTGTACTGGAGCTTCAAGTTCTTCGTTCCCTTCACGTAACGGACCACTCTCTTCAGGGCTTGCCAGTGGGCCTCATCAGGTTGAACTTGGAAGCGCCCTAGGTATCCAACAGCGTAGCATATGTCCGGTCGAACACACAGCATCGTATACATCAGGCTGCCCAGCAATTGACGGTATGGATGCGACACAGGATTCGCAGCTTGTGGTGGCAGGAAACAGCCTTTCTCCATTGGGGTTTTGACATGGTTACAGTCTTGCATACCGAACTTCGTCAGCACACGGTCCACAGCAGCTTCTTGCGCCAGGTACATGCATCCGGTGGCGCGGTCGTATCGGATCTTCATTCCAAGGAAATGATTAACCACGCCGCAATCCGTCATCTGGAGCTTCTTGGAAAGAGCACGCTTGATCTCCTTCACCAGGTCCAGTCGATCGCCAGCAATGAGCAAATCGTCCACGTAGATGATTATGTATACCCCCCCTCGATCGTCGATCCTGGTATATAGACAGTAATCATGCCGGGAACGGGTAAAGCCGAAATCCAGTAGAAGGTCGTTTAGCTTGTTGTTCCAACAGCGGGGGCTTTGCTTGAGTCCGTACAGCGATCGATCCAGCTTGCAAACGAAGTTCGGCGGTGCTGCAACTCCTTCGGGTATGGCCATGTAGACGTCTTCTTCAAGCTCACCGTAGAGGAATGCGGTCTTCACATCGAGTTGGTGAACGTGCATCCTTCGGTGGGTTGCTACAGCAAGAACGGTTCGTATCGTGGCTAACTTTGCTACGGGGGAATATGTTTCGTTGTAGTCGACTCCGGGCTTCTGTTGGAATCCCTTCGCCACCAAGCGCGCCTTGTAACGGATCGGTTCGCCATGCTCGTCCGGCTTGATTCGGAAGACCCATTTCGATTTGAGCGGAACCACACCAGCAGGGCATCTCACCAATCGCCAAGCATGGTTGTCCGCTAGCGACTGCAGTTCCTCACGGACCGCTTGCTGCCAAAGAGCTTCGTCGGCTCGTCCAGCGATCTCCTTGTACGCCTCCGGGACATCGAAGATCGAACGCTCGGCCTCATCTCGTCCAACGGAACCGTCAAATAGTACATCGGAAACGTTATGGGGAACATCTGCAGAATGGGATTGCGCGGCAGTGAAAATTTTTCCAACCAGAAATTCTTTCAACGCCCCGCATGGGACATCTCGCAATCAGGTCACGACCTTGCTTCATGATCGCTTCCTTTTTCGTGAATGTGACATCAAGATCCGCTTTTGCCATCTTCTTCACAGATAGCAAGTTCGCTCGAAGATCTGGTACGAAGAGGACGTTCTTCAAGCTGATATAGTTACCTTCCTTGTTGACGCCGTTGATCGTGCCACTGTGCCGGGAAATCAGGGATTGATCATCCTTCGCCACGTTTATGACGACAGGGTGCTTCAGCTTCGTGAGGTCGGCGAAACAGTGCTTCACATTCACAAGGTGGTCCGAGGCTCCGGAATCCAGCTTAAAGGAAACTGCTCCCTCGTCCTTTGTTTGGGAG